TATCACAAATTTCAAAATTTGTTTACATTTACAAAATACAATTAACTTGGTTAGTAAACACATTGTAAATATTTTCTTTGTACTTGCAGAAATTCTGCAGCAAGACCTTTTAACTAAACTAAACAGATTTTAATTTTCACAGGCTTGATTTTGATTTTATTGCATTTTACAAAACGTCCCCATTTCAGACTGGATTTGTACATCTGGGATGGCAGGAGGTTGAGTAAATAATGAGAAAATAAAATTTTTGGGATGGAGTACCCAATTTAACATTACTTACAATTTTGTCTTTGGGTATCTGTCCAGCTTCCATTGTCACTGGCTGTCCAGGCTGATTCTAGGCAAAAAAGTTAAAATTTGTATGCAAAAAAAAAAACCTTTTCAGGCCTCACAATAGCACTTTATAAATTTTGAGGTTTTCAAAATGGACTTGAAGCCACTAGTGCTCTATCATGATCAAATTTTGCATCAAAGATAAAAAGTAACATACCATGTTGGTGTTGATCCACACTTGAATTATGTTCATGACTCCATTCTTGCATTCTTGGTGCTACAAAAGAGACATTATTGTGATTCTCTCTTATAAACATTTAACTTATATTTGCATATGTAAGTACATTTATTTTAAGTTTGATAAGACAAATGCTGCACACACACATTAAACACGGTAACTGCTGTAAAATTGCCAGATTGCCATTTCCAGTAATTGTACCATATCTGCTGTTCACACAAGCAACACATTTTCTTTTCTTCTTTTTACCATTTTACAATTTTCAATAAAATATAAATAAATAAATAAATAACAGCAAGAAAGAAAGAAAGATGTGGGAAAACGTTACCTAAATGTTGTGGCATCATTGACTGAGTGGTATGTAAAGCTGATCTGTAGCCCCCTGGCATCTCTGGATCAATGACATATTAATAAATTACATCAGCACTAAAATACTGATAAATGTTGTGATGTTTATCATTATCATCAGTTATGTCCATCAGAAGGTTTGACTGATTCAAAACAGACTTTTTAATTTGTTCAAACAAGCATCAAAACAGTAATTTACAAATAATAACTTCTTATTCAGGACAATTGTCAGAACTGATATACTGATATTTTTCAAAAAGATCCTCTACACATGATGTCAAAATGGTAAAATGCTCATCATTTTCCAGAAAAAGTTGTCTGTATCTTGCCTTCGATTTGACGTGCCCTAGGGAACTGATTTTCACTGAAATATTTGACTTCTCTCATTTTTC